GGCATAAAAATAAGTAGTAAAGTAAAGTAAAAATATCAGAAAAATCTACTTGAGTACAGTAACGAAGTATTTGTACTTCGTTACTTCCCATCTCTGTTTGTAAGGAGCCAGCAGAACCATGTCATCTATTAAGGGCAGATACTAAACCCACTGGTCCTCAAACTAGACGCCATCCAGCGTTTGGCTTCTCCTAGAAATCCTGTCCATTCAAGGTTTAAACAGGACCGGAATGGTTTGCCAGAATCCCTTCAAGGCCAACCATTAGTCTGTCTCCTTGGCCTCATCTCAGGCCCAATGACCTGGGCTGCAGTGGCCATTTGTGCCTCAGGGTTCACCTAATACCACTGTCCACCACCAGGTTTGGGGTTAGCTGCTACAAAGGGCATCACTAACCTTGCAATAATAGCTATTGACAGCTGCATTGACAATAGCAGCTCTTTGTCCACACAGAATATCTCACTGCCCCAGATCTCTGCCAGACAGTCCGAGCAGACATTTGCTACAGGATTGGACTGCTCCCTCTGTCCAGCTTCCTCTAATGCTAGCAGATCCAACTCACCACCAGGTGAGCAGACTGATGAACAACCTCCTGCTTGAAGATAGATAACCAGCAAACACCCCATGCAGGTGTCACTGTCATTTCCCATATGGGCAAAACGTTTATGGCTTGATTACTGATACATAAAGTTACCTTATTCTGATGGAATATTGTGCCTTTACAATATAGCTAGAGAAAAATTAAAATGTTCTACCTCTTGATTCTGTAATTGGGTCTCTGCATTTTCAGCCAAGAGCACCGGGCTGGAGAAGACGTTGTTTTCGACACCATCCAGCCAGGAGGAAGTGGTTGACACGGCTGTGAAGAGCTGCTGCTCCATCTGAGCCACCTGTGTTTCAGCTCCACCGCCAGCCTTTGTAGAAACAGGGAAAAGAACATTACCAAATCAATATTTACCTGCAACACACGTTAGAAGGAATAAGTATCAGAAAGGGGATAACCTGAGTGGTCATTTCTTCAACCGTCTGTCTGAAGCTGTCATAGAGAGTTTGCAGAGAGGAGTTATCGGGTTTGGTGTCTCCTTTAAACATTGGCCCAGCTGATGTTACACGAGTAGCTCTGGAAAACACCTGCAAACAAACAGAGGCCAACCAAAAACACATTAAGATGTTCTCTGTCATATTCAGTGTGAACATAAATAAATCAATAGATGAATAAACAATGTAGTACTGGCTGCTTCTGGTCCTGCTCAAGAGTTTTTTGTAAAAGCTGTAATTTAGTCCTGAGCTCAAGTCTGAGGCTTTCCCATCTCTGCTTCATCTGGTCTGCTCTGCTCTCAGACAAAGCTGCCGGGGAAAATGGCTCCGTAGTGCTGCAGGAAAGAAGCACATGTGTGATTAGTGCTCTGTTTTAGTGAAGCACAATCTAATTAGAGGCGTGTTCCTAAGATACCTGGAACTACTGGGTGATGACTGCTGGATGAGAATTTCCTCCCCTCTGCTAGCGACTGACTGAAGCAGCTTTTTCTGCTCTGCAAGCTGCTCTTCCAGATCCTTCACAAAAACACACACAGATTAATGAAAATAAGATTACTTCATTCATTTATTTTGATACAACTGTATAACCTTCCATTATTCTCTATAGTGAGTGCGCCTTACGTTACACATTCATAATGCATAACTTTTTTATGTTCTGCTGTCACAAATGTCACGTGACAGACCAGCACAAAGTGATAAATTACAGTAAATTTAAAGACATTTTTTATAACCTTTAATTGTCCAAGTTCCCATTTTTTGGTAATTTGAATATAAACACCACTTTGTAGCAAACATGCAAAATAGCAAAGTCAAATGTGGTCTGCAGTGTCTGCAGGGTCTTAAAGGTGAGTTGAACTGCTTCATAGAATAGCACCAGTAATCTAATGTTGTTTACTGTGTGTAATATGTTACCGACTGTAAATTAGGTGGGGGAAAAATCATAGGTGAGTAAAAAACAATAGTTAAAGAGCTAAAAAGTAAAAAAAATCTATCAGCAAATTTCTTGTAGCAGCATTTTTTTTATTATTACATTGACTTTGATATTTTGCTGTGAATATATATATATTTTTTATGTTACAATAGTCTTGTTATCTCCTCCAATGACACTCTTGAATTGGAATTTTGAATTACAAAGTATTTCCCTCAGAGACCTAAAGGGTTCAGTTGAAATGAAATGAAAACCATGATCTATTGTAATTAATTGATAATTAAAAAATAATGCACTTATTTAAGCAATTCAGCTACACTTAGAATCCAGAACTCATGAGGTGGTATTTTGACCACTGAATGTAGATTTCCTTATAGACATATGAGATGCGTTTAAAATGAGCAAAAAATGTTGTTCTTGTTTCAAAGATATAGAAGACGGTCTATTTTTTGCTTTGCTTTGTGTCACATTTATGTCAAAATGCCAGAGAACAGAAAAATCTGCACGCAGGAAGGAGCTGTGGCTTTGGGAAGAGAAAATAGCTCCATGCACGCATCCCACGCTTGCTCGGGATCTCCCCACGCGTGTTCCACGGCGTTCCACTTTCGCACGTGTTTCTGTTCAGCACCTTTGCTTGCGGACAGCTTTCTTCTCGCAGGAAGCAAAATATGTTTTGACAGTCGGGCAGAGACAAACCTCTTCTGTGAGCCTCCTCCTGATTGGCCGTACACACATTGTATGCTTTGAAAATGTTTGTGCGAAGCAAACGTTCTTATAAGTTTATGAAAAAAGAAACATCTCAGAGGAAAAAAATAAGACCAGGGTGTATTTGGGAGATTATTCTAGACCAGGCGGGTTAGTTTTTCACAACGGGCCTTTATCTTTTTCACCTACATACCCTGAAAAATTGTCCACTATGCCTTTAAGATCCAACACTATTTTTTTTAGGTAAGATTTTTTTTCTTTTAAGATTATTTTATTCAATATGTTTGGTAGATTAATCCATTACCAAATAATCAAGAGCTGCAGCCCTAAAAAAATAAATATTGAAAGTGTAACAAGCTCACCTTGGTAGAAAATCCAGTGGGATCAGTCATTACTTGTGTTAATTATTAATACCATTATAAATAATGATAATTGAAAAACCTAAAAATAAATTGTCATTCACCTAAATGAACAAGCCAGACATGAATCATAATGTTAACTTTCAAGGAGCTACAGAGCTCCACAGCTAAAGGGGAAGAGTTATCAGTAAGACCCAGAAATCTCCCATTTTTACTAGTATGCAGGACTAATAAACCATAATACCTTCTGTCTCTGCAGACTGTCTTCATGGTGTTGTGTCCGTGTGGTCCGAGCCTGGGCCAGCCAGTCCTGCACACTGGAACTTGAAGAAAGACTGGAGTCTGATTCACTGTCTTCTGGCTCCTGTAGTGAACCCTGTAAAAGCAGCAGCAGCAGCAGTTTAGAGCCTGTAAAACAGGCTAAGATCTAAGATTACCAAATGTGGAACCATTTCCATACTGTAGTTAAATTAAAAATAGAACAAGACAGAAACAAAAGCCACAAAAACACATAAAGCTATAATTGCTCCATTCTTAGAAGAAAAAGCTTCAAACAACAAGACAATTAAAATATAAAACAGTAGGTTTAAGCAGCCATGGTTTTTGAAAAAGGCCCAGTGATGTCACTGGTATAAAAACAAAGCAGAATGAATGACATTGTTGTGTATTATGCATCAGTGCATCCCATCGTTTAAGCAGGCGGTCTGCTCACCTGCATGTTAAGCTGTTTGTCCTGTAGCATTCTCTGCAGCTCCATTAAACCGCCCTTTAACGTGCGTAACCTTGCAGCCAACTCCTCAGCCTCCCCTCTGGTGTCTGTTCGGCCCTCCCGCAGCAGGTTCTCGCTGCGCACCGACAGCTCTGTGAGGGCCAGCACCTTTTCTTCAATCTCCACCAGCATGTTCTGCAGAAGCAGGAGCAGAGAGGCCAGCTCATACATGACGTCTCCCCTTTGATCTCCTCGATCTACACAACAGACCCTCCGGGCCTTGCAGCTTTCCCCGGCCACAGGGCAGAGAAAGCCCTCATCCTTGGCCCACCTTCCCAACCTTTGCTCCTGTTCAACATATTAGCGGTAATCCTTCACGCACCCTGCTCTGCAATGCACAGCCTCTCAGATACATTTAATAATGATTCTCTTGCGGTAAACATCTTTTTAAGTCCCTAAGCTCAACAGTACCCAATGATATGTGATGTTTCCTTTTCTGAGCACGCGTTAGTTTTCCAAGATCATTGCTTCTCCTTTGAGCTGCTGAGTGACAGCAGGTTCACCCTCTTCCCCGCCCTCCTGTCTGTTCCTCACTGCGCCCACTTGGATATTCAAGTAGCTTTGTCACTGGCACAAATAGCAAGCGGTTTTAATTGTGATAACCCCTCCCCATGCTTCTGTCACGCCTCTGTCCCTCAGAGACCTGGGTATAATCTTCTTAAGGATGGTGCTGCAGTCACTTAGCAGGCCTACCATCTGAATGTGGCTTTAACTTTGCTAACCCTGTTGTTTACTCTCTGTAAAGCTGTGGCCCTCTCCGTACCAGTATGTAGTGAGCAAAATATTCAAATGAAAATATAAATGTTAAAAAATTTGACCAGATAAATCACTTTCTACATGTAAAAATACCTTTTCTATGACTACTTTTACAAAACACTGCCCCTTTTACTCAGTTCATTTAATATATTTATGTTTCAGTCCTTACCTGGCATTCTGTGAGCTGATATTTTTCATCCGTCTCGTCTGCAGGACTAGTGTGAAGAATGGGCATTGCAGCAGTTCGAGTTCTGGTCAACCACTCATCCAGCTCAGCTGCTTGGGTGAGATACGTCTGCAAAGCTCGCTCCTGATGCTGAACCTCCATATTGTCAGTGGCGCGCTCCTGCAACCAGCCAAAATAAATAAATGTAATAAAAAATTTTAAATTTTGTTTATTTAGATAAATAAAATGGCTGCCATGCATAGTGTTGACAAATGTACCTCCAGTAGTTGTTGTTTCCCTGAAGCTTTCATATGGATGGTTGCCATCCTCTCTGCCAACACAGCCAGAGAAGACTGCATAGCAAGGTGGTCAGCCAAATCAGAGTCCACAGCATTGGTAGCAACGTCCTCTGTGAAGCCTGCCTGCAGCCTATCGATTTCTTCCTGGACTTTCTGTATCTCCTGCATGAGATCCTGCACACAACAATACAAAGGTTAGCCTGGTATTTTTTTAATCTGTTTCTGAAATTCCTTTAGTTTTACGCCATGAATTGTATTGTTCTGAATGAGAGACATGTCAGGTCTGAGGAGCAAATCTAGATTATCGTTTGTTTTGGAATTAGGTTTTTATGATTTTTAATGGCCAAGTTTGTGCACGCAAATAATAAATGTGATTGAAGTTCCACTTTGCTCTCAATTCAGTTATTTTAAATATAATAAATATAAAGATGAGAAATAACATTTTGTATGCAAAAATATGCATAAACAGGGTTTCAACAAGAGAAAGACATGGTTGAATTAATGTTAACATGCATCTGAGCGCTCTGACTGTGGAGAGGCTCTCTCTGACTGGATCCACTTTGCATTTAATCAACTGACTTCCTGCCTTAACGATTCGCTATGTTGTAGATCAGTGGTTCCTAACCCCGGTCCTCAGGGTCCCTCTACCATGGCATGTTTTATTTTTTTGGAATTTTTTTATAGTGAGAGCATTACAGTACAGAGGTAGTTACTTTCAGGGAATGCATAATGTTACTACCGCCAGTATTGTTACTACCACAATAAATTTTTGTATGTATAAAATTATAGACAAAATGTAAACAAAATACACAAGTTACATCTGAAATTACATCTACCAACTTTGAACAAACAGGGAAAGTGTTAGGAATCCAGTCTGTGTGGGTTGTGTTTTTGTTTGTATTCCCTCCACCACCAGGTGGCGCCTGGTTCTCGTTGGCCCTCTCACACACCTACGGTTGGTTGCCTCATTACCCGAGGACTCTTAAGCTGCTGACTGCCACTACCTCAACGCAAAAGGGTTGCCAAGTTTGAGGAACCCAACCAAACCGAAGTTTGGCGGAGCAAAACGAAGTTTTGGCAAACCGAAGCCAAAAATGGTTTTTGGCCTTGCCCCCCCGCAAGAAAGCAACCCCAAAAACGGAAGGTTTGGAACCTCCCCCCACTGGAAGGATCGTCTGAGCTTCAAACTGAGCTGAGGATTCAAACTGGAGGTCTGGATCTACTTTTCCCCAAAGGATTGTTTGAGCTTCACACTGAGCAGGGGATTCATCTCCACAAGATCTGTTCAAGTACCGAAGGAAATCTAAGTGGCAGTCAGCTCCTCCGTTCCTCAAGGAAACAACTTAACCTAGGTAAACCCTGTCCGCCCTCCAACAAGCAAACCTATTTCTGGAACAATCCCCACCGACTGGATTCAAAGAAAGACACCATTTCTGGAAACGTGAGTCCTGTTGCCTTTACTCCCTTTTGCAAATGAAGCTCAAGTTTCCCACTGAGCCTGAACTAACCACAGGAACTTCCCCTTCTCTTTTCAGTCCCAGTTCGCCATCGTTCAGAGCAGCACTGGACCCATCTCTACCAGTTCTCAATAAACCTGTAAAACCTTCCCCTGGTCTCTCTGATTGGTTTTCTGCATGTGGGTCAGATCTTTGAATAAAATTATGACAGAAAGACAGGTCTACCTGAAAAAACAGGAGTAAATTATATACCAGGCGGTTTTGAAATAAAGTATGAGAGATACATTAATATATTAATCCTTAGACACTACAGAGCATAGATTAAATAACAGGCGCTGCATGGTCATCCATTCCATACTTCTGTTTGTTCAAGTCCAGCATGTTTAACCCACTTGGCCCACCTCTTAGTGAATATATTTTTCTGAAGGCGGATGGAGAAGGTGATCCTTTCCATAAGGTAAATGTCCTTTACGATACTTGTCCACTCTTGTATTGTGGGTGGGTCGGGGACCAACCAACGTCTTGTGAGCGCTTTTTTACACGCAGTTATCAGAATATCAACACGGCATGTTTTAGATGCGTCTGTTCCATCACACCTGACCAATTAATGGCTTCTCTTCAGCAGCCACCAAGTGCTGCAGAAGGCTGTTAGTCACCCGGGTAGTCAGGTGTGTGGCAACAAAGGAGACAACTAAAACATGCGGTGCAGGGTTCCTCAAGGACCAGGGTTGGAAATCGCTGCTCTTGATTAAAATGGAGTTGAAGGGCTAAAAATAGAACAGCCATCTATTTCAGAGAAGTGGCCAAAGTGTCTGGGACACATAAAAAAATGATGTGGTGCAATGGAACCACTCTGATTGGCTATAACTACCGCGATCAGCTACGACGGCCCGGTGGAGCCATGCCTTGACGTTTAGGCGCCGCTTAAACATTCAGTGGAACCCAAAGGTAATACTGATCAGAAATAATAACAAAAATATTGCTAACAGGTTTTCTGGGCATTTTTACCTTCGCCAACTTGTGAATTATTTAGTGTTGCGCCAATTTTTTGGGCCCCGATACCCGAAAGCTGGCTGTGCAGTATTGGCCGATACCGATACCATAATAATGTAAAATAATTGCCATCATGGCTTTGTCAAGCTTCTGCCTACCTTTGTGAAGCAGGAAAAAATCTGATACATAGTGAATCCAGTAGAACTTTTAATTGCCTACCAGGAGTGGGTGACAATAGTTGAATAAACTTATGGCTATGGTATCGGTGCCCTATTTGTTGGTACTCGCCGATACCGATACCACCATTTTAGGGCAGTATCGGGGCCCCGTCCGATACTGGTATCGGTATTGGTGCAACACTAGTATTATTGGTCAAATATAGCAATATTCAGCTTTAAACAGCTTTCAAATCATACAAACAACTTTGTGCTTTTGCAAAGTTGGCCAAATAAGAAACAGATAAAATAAAAGGAAAAGTTACATAATTAACTAAAATTTGATGAATCCTGGATAACCACCAGATATTCCCTATCAGACGTAATGGATAATGAATAATGGAGCAAATAATAATTAGGACTCACCTCATGGACTTTCATGTGGCTATCTGGGCTTTTGTCTGCCTCCAAAGGTTCACTGAGCTTAGACTCCAGTGTTTCCATTTTAGAGGAAATGGACTGCAGAGAACCTTGGTAATGCTGTTGTTTTTCCAAAGCTTCATACAAGGATCTCTGCTTCTCACTTATCTGCAGGTCAATGAGTAATAAAACACAGGAAGTCAATTTAAATTGCCCGAAACATCAGTACAAATATCAGCGGTTCATAATTATTGCTTCCAAACAGCTTTCCTTATAATTAACTGCCTCTTGCAAAGCTTGCTTTAAAACAGAGTTTCATTCAGATACGGTTAACGGAAATAAAGTTCAGTGGCTTAAATATAAAAGACATGGTCATTTATACCAGTGCATTAAACATCTTATTCAAAAGCTGACAAAATCTTTATTATTACTTTTTCATTATTATTAAGTGAATGTTCATTATTACAATTTGACATATAATAAAATGTCAGATAAAGCATTGGAGTGATGTTTTCTGCAGCTGTATTGACCCCTGCACACTGCCAGTCAGCTGCTTATAAGAAAGACAAATTCAGCCTTTAGAAATAATTTCAATTACAAAACACACGGGTCGTTAGCCACATAGCAGCAGTACCAAGATCATATCTTTGCAACCTCTTGCAGGATGACACAGCAGTGATGTGTCATCCTGCCTTGCTGCCTATGCCCGCATCAAAACGTTTGCTGCATACAAAGATGGAGGACCCATTAGAAACATGGATTCGATGAACACAAGAGCATCAGTTCTCCTCTTCTGATACACAACCTACCTTGTATTCTAGTTCATTTTCTCTAACTTTATATACATTAAACGTACTTTCAGTCCATCATAGGGATTAATAACTGTGTTTCAACTTATAATCACATCTTTGTGAGAAGATTTTATTGTCATTTGGTATACATCGTGTATACAAAACAAAATTCCGTTTGCAACACCCATAACAACACCACCTCTTAAAAAACAGCAGCAATCAAAAAAAAAAAACATGGGAGAAAAAAAAAAACCTGAAAAAAAAAAACAAAAACCTGAGCTACCTTGTAGTAGTACAAAAAAGTAGTAGTACTGTGTGTGCCTTTATTTTAGCACCAAGTGATTTATTTTGACTAGAAATGTGACATCTGATTTGATTACATATATTCTTGCTAAAAATATGGGCTTAAAATTTTTATATAGGCTGTTATGGAAGATAAAGAAAGTCAATTAATCCGAATTTTCAACATAATGCTGATTTAAAGAAACAGCTTTCCAGTTGAAGCTGCATGTCTGATGAAGGGTTGACTGCCAGCTCTACAACAGCAGACAGCCCTACTCATATAGTACTCATCGTTATGACCACAAAGATGGGGACTAGAAAATATATTTTTGTATACTTTTATACTAAAACCATGAGGCCATGATACCATGGTGTTTTATTTTAACGTTAAGTTATTGTCAAATGTCAGAGTCTCATACCTAGTTGTCAGAGGTGGAAAGTAACGAAGTATATTTACTCAAGTTACTGTATTGAGTAGGTTTTTTGTGTATTTTGTATTTTTCAAGTAGTTTTTAAAATCGGTAATTTAAATTTTACTTGATTACGTTTTGAGGGAAGTATTGTATTTCATTACAGTACAAATCCCATCCATTACTGAGTAAAAAAAACACTTTGGAAAACCGAAAGGAAGACAAAAAATCGGGCTCTGAAGCACTACAGTGAGTGACATGATCAGCATGTAGAGATAGGCTACCAGGCGCAAAATCTTTCTGTAGGAGATTGGGAACGAGATGGAGGTGGAACACGGGAGAGAGAAAAAAGGTTTTACCTTGCTTGAGTTGCTACAGCCAGCAGCTAACGCAGCTACAGCGCTACACTCTGGGTGTATGAACATGATGGAGGCTCATGAACATGTCCCTAGAGTGTAGCAATGTAGATGCCTGGCTGTGTTAGCTGCTGGCTGTAACAACTCGAGCTAGGTATATATTTAGGTTATTTATGGAGTCAAAACACGTGATTTAGCCTTGATTTGCATTATAACTTTTTATGTTAAAAGAAGGATGGCACTCAGAATGAACAACTCATGGCAATTCAATTGATGTGGAAACATTGAAAACATTTTATGGGATGTTCTGCACTAAAATGGCACATTATACATTTATAAGGGTCTTAAATGTCATGTGTGGCGTGTTTTATGTTGTTATTGCATTTGTATAGTGCTTATTAATAACTGTTGTTAATGTTTGAAGAAAAGAAGGACGGCACTCAGAACCAACAA